AGTTTCCTTTGGTGCTTCCCTCCTGCTGCCCGGAGGGCTGTGGAATGTGGGGCAGAGGGAATTGTGTTCTCCCCTCCATTCCAATGATACCGCTCTTCTTAGGCAAGTCCTTTTCTGAGAGTCTGTGTCTGGCCTCTGCTTTTGGTGGTTTGAGTGTGGTTTCAGCCCATGGGCAGTCATGCTGGCTCATGCTTAGCTGTGGGGTTTCCACATGCCTTCTCTTCTTCCTCCCACTAGTTGACCAGCAAGCTAGTTTTGACTGCCTGCTGTGTTCCTTGCTGTCTGCTGGGAACCCTGGAGGGATAGAAGAGAAGGTAAGAGGGCACCAGCATCTCTCCTTCCTCCTTTCCACTCTGAATTCCTGATCTTTTGGAGTTTGGTACCTATGAGCCAGTTTGACTAGTTCTTGCCCTGCCCAGCTTGGGCAACCCTACAGGGCCTCTTTTGGTGTAACCCTGCTTGTCCTGCTCCTGTATTTACCTTTCATTGATAATCAACTCTTGATAATGAGCAGGTCCTTGTACATTTGAAGGATTGTCTCATGGGAGGTGGCATGGAAGAAAGGAAAGTGCGTGAGATTTCAGAATCAGGAAGGGTTGGGTTCTGCCACCAGCCTAACTACTCAGTACCAGTGTTACCTTGGGCAGGTTGCTTCACGTACTCAATCCTTAGCTTCTTCATCTGTAAAATGGGATTTTTAGGATTAAGTGACCATGTGCAAAAGTACCTAGCAGCAGGCCTGGTGCATAATAGACTCTAAATATATTTCTGTTTCTTTCTTCCTCTCTCAAGGTGTGCTCTGTCAAAGCAGCAGATTGGTGGTAGGAGTAATGAGCTCTGTCTTCTCTCTGCTCCTTGAGGAAGTCATTTCTGCAGGTTGAGCCTTCAACAACTCATGTGGTGAATGACAAGGGATCAACAGAACCTTTTAGTGCTGACATTCTGTGAATTTATGAATCTATAGTTAGGTCTTCTGGTCCTTTCTGTGCTTCTTGTTACTCTCACTAGAAGATGAGGAAATTTTTCTATTTCAACAAGAAGAAATAATGTTGCTTCTAGAAAGAAGGCTTACCATTGGAGGCATATCACATCTCTATGTGGGCACCTCAAGTCCTTTCTTGAGGATGGAAAAGAAACAACTCTATGCTTTCCACTCATGGGGTGATCCTTGGTGGTAGAAGAACACTTGAGCAAAAAGCAAGGTGATGGCAGTGTCTTCATAAAGCCATCATTTAAGAGGAACCTGCCTTGTGCCCAAGTTGTTGCTGAAAATTTAGAAGTCCCAGAACGTACAGGTGGCTCCTGACTTACAGACATTTTCACATGCAGTTGCTGCCAGCCACGCATGCACTTGGAATCCTCTCTCTCCCTGCTCACTGCCCTGCTCTCCTCTTCCACATCCCTATTTACTGCTGGTGCAGCAGCCACGGTCACTCTGTGGGCTGTGGCTGTGGCTGGGCTGTGGCTGGGCCATGGCCCTTTCTTTCACCAACTGCTGTGTCTCCAGTGCAGAGCCAGCAGGTCCAACCGGTGTCTACAGCAGTGGTCCTCAAACCTAGTGGCACAGAGGAATCTCCAGGGACATTTAAAAACATACAGGTGCCTGGGCCCTACCACAGATCAGTTAATATGTGGAGAGGAAGCCTGATATTAGTTTTTAAAGAAATCTTCCCAGGTAATTCACATAGCAGCCTTCCCTGCAACCTGTCTCCATACCCTGTCTTCTCAAGTGCTCTCATCTCAGATGCTTCCAGCCCCTCTTCCTAGCCCATTCCTCGGCTCCCTCGTCCCAAGTCTTTGACCCCTTTTTAGTTGGGGCTCAATCCTTTCATGCCCCCTCTACCTATTCCTCTCCCACAGGAAACCTGCTCCAGGTCGTGGGAACTTCAAAGTTAAGTGACACCCAAGTTCAAAACATGAACAAGTCTTCCCGAAGAAACACTTTTTGCCAATGTCGCCTTCCAGTTCTCTATGAGGGTAGCAGGCGTTCATGGACTGGTTTGGGAACTTAACTACCATACAAATAGTGTTTTCATTTAAACACTTTTATTCCTCTGTGTAGAGGAATAAAATTCTACTTATGACCCCCATGTGTTTGAAATCTAGTAAGAAAAGAAACTTACAGAAAAATATCCTCCAGTACAGAATGCAGGGCTAGATTTTGTCATGTAGATTAGTTGTTCTCAAACTTGGGCCTATTGAGGGATCACTTGGGAACACTGAAAAAATGTTCATGTTCTGCCCACATACTACTGGATTCTGATTCAGTGTTTTTCGGGTGAGGCTTGAGCCTGGGCCTTTTAAAACGAGCTCCCCAGGAGATTTTGATGTGCAGCAGAGTTGGAGAAGGGTTGGTGTATGTGAACTCAGTGTGTGGGGGGTGTGGTCAGGGCAGGCTGCAGTCAGCGAAGCAGGCTTCCTGATGGTGGGCTCTCTGGTCCTTTCCCTAGAGGAGACGTGGCTGTGGCAGGTGAGACAGTTTGCTAGTCTCCGACCCCTGCCCTTCCCCAGGTCCTGTTTCCTGGTGTTCCTACCCTGACACCTGGCTGCCGAGGCCCTCACAACTCGGGTATGTTGGCACATTCTTCCTTGAGTAAGAAGTATCTGCCTGGGGCTGCTGTCCTGGCAGGGAGCTGTCATAATTAATTTTCTACATCCAGTAATTGGAGTGGACACTGAGCTGTCACTCTGGGTCAGGGCCTCAGTGATCCTGGGGCTGTTTTCGCCTGTCATTCATTTCCCTCTGGGTGGGGGGGAACTGCTTTTTCAGACATGCGTCATATTTTCCTGGCTTCTCATGGTGGAGAGGAGGTGCACGTGAGCCTAGGATCAGGCTGTGGGTGGGCTGTGGGTGAAGGGAGTAAGGATACCCTCACCCCCGGGGTAACTGGGCCTGGAGAACTGCTGTCCCCTCTCTGGAGTAGAAGACCAAGGGTGGAGCAACTGTGGAGGGTGGAGAGGGTGAAGTCATTGAAATCTGATCAGCTTCTATCTGTCATTGCACTTGGGTTAGTGTCCGAATGGTTCCCCAAATCCCACTTCATCACTCATAATTCAAGATAGGGCCCTGGAGGCCTCTGGGTTGTGGTTTGGGGTCAGGAGACTGAGTTGTGCAAGACCAGCCCTGAGACTTGGCATCTGCATCTTGTAATTAGCATACGGGTTGGAGATAGGAACCGCCACAGCTCAGCTCTCTCTATGTATTTTCACGTCACTCTCCCAACAAGCTATGCAACTGGGCTTCTCATTGCACACAGTCATAGGGCAATCATGTCCTAAAGCTAGAATTCCAACAGCTCAAGCTTTTTAAAATGACAATGTTGCTTCTAGGACATCGGGGTGGAAGCTAGGAGACCTGAATTGTAGTTCAGGCTCCGCCACTAATTATGTTACCTTGGACAAATCTCTTCACTCACAAGTGACTTTCTTCAAGTGTAAGATGGGGGGCTCGGGGTGGAGGAGGTGCTCAGTGTCCAGCAGAGGCCTGTGGCTCTGAGTGTTTCTGGAATCCATGCAGACCTGGGCCTGCTTGTGGCGACCTCACTCCCCAAATTGCTGAGTGTCTGCCCAGCATGGTTTACGTTCCCCTCTAGGGCAGTCAGCTGCTCACAGGCCTCCTGGGGTCCTGGGGCTCCTTTCTGAATGCTGACTTAGGGGCTCTAAGGCCTATCTCTCTTTACCCAATAGAGGTTTCCTAAAAAAATAAAATGCCATCACCGTATAATTGAAAAAAATATGTAAATCAAATCATCCATCATTGAAATGCTCATCTAGCTACTGAAAGGCAGCTTTTAGACCTATGGCCTCATTTGCAAAAGGGGGGAGATATTCTTTCTAGATCTCTTACTCTAAAATTCTAAGGCTCTGAGAATCCTTTTAGCATGGATGGTATTATTCCAGTCTATTTTCTTGTGATTAGGACATTTCACACAGTACATTTGCTTCAAGTGATGTATATTAATTTAAATAATTGGGCTTAGAAGGACTCTTCCCTCTTATCTGAGATATTTCTTAAGGGCCATCTCCCAGAGTGAGAGGTCATTTTACTGTTAACCCATTAGGAAATTTATAAATTCCCATCATCCAAGATCTACCTTGTTTAGTGCTTTGTCACAACCCAGGTAATGGGGGCTTCCAGGTTATTCTTTAAGGTTTATGGAAACAGTTTAAGAGGGTACTGGGAGCTATGGACAGGTTCTCAGGTTCATGGGGGAGTGGATTTTCCAAGTTATAGGTGAGAAACTCTACAACTGTGATTTCTTGGCCATTTCTTTGTGATGCTCCCATCCCTGTGTCATTGCTTTGTTTATGACAATGGAGAAATTAGAAAGCCAAAGAGATTGCCAATGTAAATAGCGCCACACAAGGTGCCTGTGAACTTCTTGCTGTTTTAATAGTATATTGACTTTGTGTTTTATGGTGTATGGACATCATAACAGTCCTGTGAAATAGACTGAACAGCTATACTTTTTATTGCTGTATTGTGTGAATCTGTACCCTACTTATTATGAAAAGAATTTGAAGTGGCATAAAACAGGACCAAGCCAACAAGGGGATCAGATTAGTCAGGACAGAAAAATATAGTAGCTAACACTTGTTAAGAGTCATCCATGTGCCAAGTGCTCCTAAATGTACTCACTCATTCTTACAACTGCTTTGTGAGGTAGGTACTGTTATCAGAAGGGAAAACTGAAGATTAGTGGCTAAGGAACTTCCTTGTAGCCAAATGGTGGAGCCCACACTTTTGCCCACTGTACTAGAATACCTCTCTGTAATACATAAGGCCCTGGGTAACATTAATACCCACATAAAGTCAAGAATGCTCAATGTTTTATAGAGGAGGAAAGTGAGCTAAAGAATGGGTAAGTGACTTGCTCAAGGTTGCAAAGCCAGTAAGTGGCATAAACAGAACTAGAAGCATGGTCCCCTGTTTCTTAGTGTTGTTTCCATGGCCTCACGTAGCATCTTTCTTAAAATGGAAAACATATTTTTTTTTTCAGAATCTGGCAATTGGGGCAGGAGCTGTTGGATCTTTGCAGCTGACCTACATCTCGAAGGTAATGTTGGCCTGGAGCTCTGGGAATTCGTATTCTGTAAGTAGGTTTAGTATCTAAACAACAGGAAGTGTCAGATCCTTTGGGTGTTAGCATTTGGGGGTGTTGCATGGGCAGCTCCCCCTTCCTCAGTGCTGCCTGTGGAAGCTCTGCTGCTGACCAGAAGTGGGTGGAGTGTGGTCAGCAGGTTCTTGGAGGGGGCCTGCAGCCTCTTTCTCCTGGGACACATCAGTCAGCAGTGCTCTCTCAGCTCCAGCAAAGGAGCTATCGGTGGTGGGGGTAGGAGTGGGACATGACCTTTTTTGTAATTAGGACAAGGAGGAACACAGAAACAACAACAAAAAAACCCCCAGTGACTGCAAAGGATTCTCCCAAAGGGTATAATTAAACAGGAGCAGCTCAGAAAGAGTTGGGACTGCACTGGAATGTTATCTATCAGCTGACAGGATACTGTGGAGGAAAGGCTGAGAATGCCCTGAGAAGGTACTCAGGTGTACCAGGAAACCATGCAGCAGCCAGATGACTGCTGTGGAGTCCGGCAGGCCACCCCCCCTGGTCCAGTTTGTGCAGAAAGGGTGAGAGCAGCCCCTCGTTGGTGCTGAGACCTGAGGAAGGGACTGGTGGATGATGCCCACATGTAGCTGCAGAATTCAGCTTCTTTTAGAGGCCCCTCCCTGGAGCAGGCCCCAGGGCTGACCCATGATGCAGCAGTGATAAAAATGGTCAGGGGATTTAGAGCCTCACCAGAAAGAGGAACTCTTTGTCCAGTGAGGAGAGCCAGGTGGCGCCCAGCCAGTACTAAGGCTCCGGAAGTCCTGCTCTCCCCACGTACCCCTCACTTCAGGCCTCTCAGGGACCTGTTTCCTTGTCTAGGTTCTCCCACCCTCAGGGAGTTGAGATGGGGTGGATTGGATCATAGAGTGGCTCCTGGCTCCTTTTGTAACAAGTTTTGGGAGTCCTTGGGTTCAGTCCTCCATCTCAGCTGGTCAGAGGGTGAGTGGCGGCTGCAGGGGCTGCAGACAGTCTAGGAGACACAGCTGGGGGCAGAGGGAAGGGCTTTTGAAAGTTTAGCTTTGTGTTTGCCTTGTGGCAAGAAAGGCGGCTGCCTCCGGGACCAGGCAGGCCAAAGGCTTGGGCTCCCCCTCTCCTGTCCAGACTTGCTGTGAGCTCATTAGGTCATTTCTCTAGGAGGTTCAGAGAAAGAGAATTCAGAGAGGGGGGAGCAGAGAACCTCAATATTAATGAAACCCCCAAAACCTGCCTGTTTCAGAGGGTTTGGGAAGATTTTTTTTTTTTTTTTTAGAATTCTCAGCTTTGAAGTTGGCCTCAAAAGGATGAACCTTTTAAGACAGGCCTGGATGGGCCTTTTGCAAAACCCACAGCTGCCATGGGTCAGGTTACACAGAGCTGAGGGCCTTTAACTCCTGCCTGATCCAATGCCAGTATGCAGAGGTTTTCCCAGAAAAACATTAAGCTGTGGTACCAGCATCACATACAGTGTTCCAGGTTATTTCATATAAATCCCTAGGTATTCCCTCCCAGACTAAAGGGCTTAACCGCAGAGTCAGCCTGCCTTGTGGCCTTGTGGTGTATGTGTGGTTTCTTGCTGGGGTGCTCTTCCGTCTCTCTTTCGTGAGGGCTAGTGTTGGGAAAGTGGGATCCTTCAGAGAGGTCAACAGAGATGAAAGTTCTTGACTTGATGTTATCCAGGGCAGCAGTGGCAGCAGAACCAGTTTTTGGGCAAACTAGAAGACAATTGATGCTGGCCTTTGGTGCCACCCACCTTCGCACTTTGCCCGAAGGCCCTTCTACACAGCCAGCCCCACTGCCCCAGTCCTAGCTTGTGTCCTGTTTTGTCAGGGCCTTGCCCTCAGTAACTATGAGGAAGACCTTTCTAGAACAGTGGGTTCCTGTCAACAAAAACTCCCAAAAAGAATATTAGAAAAAGGAGAGACTTCATTCACATGAATGGTTTGCAAGCTGGGGAGATGTAGCTTCTGACAGAAACTAAGTGTGCCATCTCTTATAGAGAAAGTTCCCCACCAGGTTCCCAGTTAGATCCGTTTTATGTGAACGAGGCATGCCCAATTTGTACAGTTCTCATTGGAACACAGCATGCAGTCCCAGTTCATAGGCATTATGTATCCTGACTGACTGCTGTGGGGCAGTTCTGATCGGTCGGTTTCAGTGCAAATGAGGATACCATCGTGTAGTTTTGATTGGATGGGGCAGGTCTCAGTCCGTTGTTCCAAAGACAAAACCAGGAACTCTCTTATAATAGTTGACTCAGCTTAAACGAGGAGGGCATAGTTCAGGAAGCCAAGAACTCAGTCTGGGGTTATTCCGGGTATACAGATTATGTGAGAGGCCCCTGTCAGCAGATGCACGCGCTAGACTCTTATAATTTATAAAAGTTGGGCCCTCAGTTGACCATGGGGAATCCGTCTCAGCAGATAAATTTCTTCTGGGGGTTAACATCAAATGAATCTTTTTTCACGGGGCCACATTCCTAACTTTTGGGGTGAGCCATGGATCCTTTGGAGAGTCTGATGAAAAGTGTGGTCTCATTTTCCAGGTGAAGTATGTATGCATGTACACATGATGATTTTGCCTGTAACTTCAGGGCTCATTGAACCCTTCACTGGCTCAGAGACCCCAGCTTAGAGTCCCTCCAGTCATTCTGTGTAGGCGACTGCTGCTTCTCTTTCCCTGCCCTTGATGCCACTTTGTAGGGCAGGGCTACCCTGGGCCCTGGGGCAGCGCTGCCTCAGAGCTCCAAGACCTCGTTCTGCAGCTGCTGTCTGTGCCAGGGGGGCCCCAGCTCCACTTCCGGCCAGGGACAGGCAGGGTGGGGCTGGCTAGCAGAGCTCTGCCACTGATGAGCTGGCTGCTCCTGTGGTCTGTGTTTAATCTGATAAGAACAAGTTCCTTTGAGTGTGTGTCACTGTGGAGCAGCCTCGTCTGCGTCACTCTCCAGGTGACCCTTGCTCATTCCCCACTCATACCCCTGACCTCCTCTCACTGCTTGCATAACCCAGGATCCACCAGTCAACCACAGTTGTGCAGGTACTCAATTGAGGCCACCTCAGGGCATGCAGATGGTTGCACTTGGCTGCCCTCGCTAGTCAGCCTGTCAACCATACTTCTTCAGGATCTTTGGATCCTTTACTGTGTCTGAGGGAGGCTGCACAGCCTGGCCTGATCACCAACATATGGGGTTGTGGGGAGAGGGGTTATACTTCCCAGGGGCTAAGGATTCTGTTTCCAGTGTCTCCAGGATGTCAGGAGGAGGCCAGAGCCACCTGTCCATAGTAAATGAGACCCTCCCCACCTTGGCTCTTCTCTTTGAGGGGCACAGCATTGGTAGATATAATTTCATTTTCTTCTCTTTGCCATTCTGTGACCATAAGAAAGGGACTATTAATTTCACTCTGGCTTTGCTAATCAGGAAGCTGACCGGAGACATTGGGGTTCTTACCCTTGCTTAACAGCCAGCCCATCAGGGCAGAACTAGAACTGATGTCTTGTTAATTCAGCAAGGAGCTGCTTTACCAAATAACCCTTCTGTGGTAAGCCAGGAGGTATGACACAAGTTGTAAATGTGCATGCTATAAATCACGCATACCCCCTGACTGAAAAGTGGAGAATATATGAAAACAAGGAAATTAAAAACTAGGCCAACTCTTTGAAAGCATCAGTTCCCATAATGAGCACCTACGCAGTATGCTTGCAGTATAGCTTGGTAATAAGTTGTGGTCAAAGTGGACCATTTGTCATTCAGCCAGGGTGAAAACAGTTCACCAGTGGTGCACTTTCTAGTCAATGACAAATTTCAGTTTCCGGGAGCAAGAGTCTCCTCATAAGCTGGAGAAGGTCTGAAGAGCCCAGCTTTCCATTGCCATTCCAAAGCCGAAAGTAGAAGGGATGCCATGAGATAGGTGGGTTCCTAGGGTCAGGATGGCCAAGGCAGTTCTACAATGGTCAGGGTTATACAGGAACTAAGGGAGGGACACCCAGGAGTTTATGGTCATGAGGACCTGCAGGAACACAGATGCTGAGGAACAGAGCAAGGAAGTGAGTCACTCATAGATGAGAACATCAGACGCAAGCAGGATAAAGGCACATACTGTGGTTCAGATAGAATTCTGGGGTGCAAAACCCAGGAAAACAAGATAGCATGGAGGCCAGGACTGTGACTTCATGGAGCTCCAGTGCCCGGTTCCCAGGAGTGGTGAAGACATGCCTGCATTTGAGTAGTTGGTGTCTGAATTCAGGACATGGGCTCACCTTTGCTTAAATCTTCATGTTTTTCAGGACTTTTAAAGGCTTTTTTAGGTCCTATGGCCTTCACCTCACATCATGGTACACATACCAGAACACACCCACATTTCTCATTAAATATAATTGTTTGGCTGTAAAGTATTTGAAAGGATTTTAATCGTCTTACTTTTTGGAATGATTTGGCTATGGGTAACTCATTTAATTTTTGATCGGCTCTAATTTCTGGCAATCATCGTGCACATCAAAATATTCTTGTGAACTAAGAAAATCAAAGCTACTAAGTATTTTGAACGTAATGAAATTTTCATGAATGTTTAAATGAAACATTGATGAAGTTAATGTGATATCTTGTAGGTATTTAGTTAAATACCTGTTGTTGAGGTTGATGTGAAGTTAACAGACATTTAATGGATTATTTATTAATGTTGAGTGTGCCATAATAATTTTGTATGTTGGAGGCCAGGCCTTTTTTCCAGGTCTCATACAGTTTTTGTAGGTACTGAGAAGCTCACAAGGCTCTCAGCATTTTGCTAAAGTCCCAGTCATGGTACCATGTGTATTAATAATGTGGAATGGGATTTTAAAGGAATTGAGGTATCAAAAGCAATAGCCTCTCTTTTATTGAGCAGCTTCTATATGACAGGATATAATAAGTGCCTCACCTGCACTATCACATTTAATCCTCACAGTAGCCCTGTGAGAACATGGTATTATTATACCTATTTGATAGAACAGGAAATGGGGGTCACACAGCTGGAACACCTGGGATTTAAGCCCTGGTCCTGTGGCAGCAGAGCTCAGGCTATATCACCTGTCCTTCCTTTGATAGGCCGCTACCTCAGTTCCCACATTGAGTATTCAGGGCAGGATTAATTTTGGTTGTTAAGGAATCTGCGCAGACCTATAGAAAGAACTCAGAACCAAGAGTAAGAATCTAGACAGATTGGTGGGTCAGTCATTAGCACGCCCTTAGCAACTGTGAGTCAAGAAGAGGCCTTAATTTTGACTTGAGATTTTTTCTTTAGCTTCTGGCTTCATGCCTTCTGTTAAAGTAAGAACTACTCCTGGAGCCCCTCTGTGAGAACACGTAGGAGAATGTCCTTGGCTGGAAAGGGGCTGAAGGAATGATGTCTGCAGGTGGATTATGACATCGTGCGAAATAGTTCCTGGGGGAAGGTGGCTGGCCCCTTAGAAAACTCAGGTACAGTGGTGGAGGCCTGCTCCAGGAAGGTCCAGCCTCCATCAAGGGCAGGCACCTAATCTTTGTGGGCACTTGATGGAATAAGAGTTGCTTTCCTTTGTTCATTCAGTGTGTTTGAACCTCGGTGAGGTGGGCTCACATAAGCACATGCTCAGGAATGTATGTTCCAGGGGTAGGATTGAAAAAGCAAAATGAAATCAAACAGCAGGAGGTATAGAAATATTTCTACTTTCTTATGCTCTATGCTCTTTTTATAAGTAAATACGTGGTTATGTTCTCTGGTTCCATTGACCTCTCTTGGGACATGTGGATGTGTGTGTTTTCATGGTTAAGCAGATATAGATATAGAGGAAATCTATCAGTGTGTCCAGATGCTGGGAGAGACATGCAGCCTCATCTTTCTGTGAGTTCCAATTGAAATCCGTGTATTTGTGGCAACATGACCCTCAATTTGGAGAACTAACTGTTTAGGCAGGGGCTTGGTGATTGAGAGAGCAGTAGAATCTTGCTAGTTTGGGTGGGGCCCGCACAGGTTTTGTGGTCCAAAGAGAATTTTGTCAGGACTCAGTGGCTTTTAAAAGCTTTTTTGCAAAGATTAAGATTAACACAAGCATCAAGATAGTGTTTATCTCTGAGGGGTGGGGATGGGACTCTATCAGGGAGGAGCACACAAAGGACTTCTGAGAAATAGGGCTGATAATGTCCTATTTCTTAATCTGGATGGTGAGTACAGGCTTTCCACATAATTATTTTTTATTTAAGGTGTTCACATATTTATTTTTTATTTTTAAAAATATCTTTATTGATTTCAGAGAGAGAAAGGGAGGGAAAGAGAGGTAGAAACATCAATGATGAAAGAGTCATTGATCGGGCTGCCTCCTGCACGCCCCTGCTTGGAACTGAGGCCGCAACCTGGGCATGGGCCCTGACTGGGAATCAAACCTCGATCTGGATCCTAGGTTGATGCTTAACTGCTGAGCCACGCTGGCGAAAGTGTTCACATATTTATATGCGCTTCTTTTTATAAGAGAAGTTTCACACACACAAAAAAGGGAAAAACTGCTTTATAACACTGTTAGAAACATAGTTATGTTTCTTTTATTTTTTCATTTGATGTAGGTGAGCATAGCCACCCCAAAGCAGAAACCAAAGACACCGTTTTGCTTTGGTAAGTACTGAGCCAGAGGATGAGTATTCTGAACACTCCTACAGCAACTTCCTCTTTGGCATGGAAGACAGTCTGGTGGTCACATGTGACTTAAACCCTGTGTGTGTGAGTGACTTCAGTCACAGCGATGTTCCTGGCTCTTGAGTGACACTGCTTCCCTTGGTCTTGCCACAAAGATTATCAATCACCTAAGACAGAGGTTCAATGGTGTTGCAAGTTTTCCTGACTTCACAGGGTGGGGTGCAAGGTATCTACTAGACCTTTCTAGGAACCCTCACTTCAGAGTTCAGTAGTGATGTGCTAAGGAAAGGTGGAGACTTGGGAAAGTTGGGGGGATAATAGAAAAGGAGTATTCTGTTGAGGGTCTCAGTATTGCCCAAAGAGTAACAGTGTTGGGTGACACAGGAAGCAGAGCCAATCTGTTAATGCCTCAAGTCATTGATTCATCAGTATTTACTTGGCACCCACTATGTTCTCAGTACTGTACTAAGTGCTATGAACAAATGCTGACAAATAGTCTCTGTTGTGTAACTAGAGCGATTCTGAATGTAAGCTCACAAAAGCAGGGGTATTCCTCTGCTTTGTCATTGCTGTGTCCTCAGCATATAGAGTGTTTCTGGCACATAATAGGTGCTCAATAAATATTTGTTGCATGAATGAATGAACTAATGAATTCTGTGTCCTATGATTCTCACCTCTTAAATAAGTCAGGCTTTTTTATACGAGGAGAACATAATGGTCCCTTGAGTTGTCTTCTCTCCCAACTTCAGGTTGTTTCAAGCTCCTTTGAGTCTCTCATTCTTCCATTAATTTTCAGTACCATTGCCAAGCTCAAAAATGATGCTTTCAGATTTTCACGGTCAGCAGATCTATTTAAAAAAACTATGAACCCAGAAGTAAATTGTTGACCTAATGGAGTGCTCAAAGGAAAGAACAGGTTGAAAATGAGGTCAAGGTCTTGCCACATTTGATGATTTGATGATTTGATTTCAGGCAGGTTTTGTTCCATTTTCCAACCACAGATAATACTCCAAACCCAGGACAGTTGTACCAGTGGAAACAAGGGGCACTGAGGCCAAAATTATAAATGTATCATCATGAAAGTAAATCTGTTGGCACTTTTAATAAGCAATTCAAGCATGTGTCTTGTTGATGGCAGACTAGCAGCCTCCTTACTGCACAACAGCATGTTAGGTTTTTGTTAATGTCAGGTGTCAGTCTTGTGGCCAATGGAATAATCCACACTTTTAAAAAGAGAGCAGTATAGCCTGTTGCTTCCCAAATATCCATGCAGGTGCTTTCACGCCATGGGAGAAGTCTTCCTCTGCTTTGCGGGGATCCTCCACCTTGCTACTTCAGCATCTTAGTTTTGTGGAGTCTTTGTGTTGCATGCATTCTGACCTGGGTTTCTTCTCTTCTTCCCCACTACTTCTGCAGTCATCAATGCCCTCTCTCAGAGGTATTTTCTTCAAGCCAATGACCAGAAAGATCTGAAGGACTGGGTTGAAGCCCTGAATCAAGCCAGCAAAATCACTGTACGTATGATTTCTTCCCCTTTCTGGAGGCATCTGTGCCTCTTGCCTGTACATGGCCTGTTTGAGTGAGGAAGAATTCCAGCGGCAGCAGGGGCTTTCCCAGAAGCCTGCTCCAGACCCGGTTCCTCTACCTCTTCTTATACCTTGGCTGACCACAAGTTGAACAGAGAGTTTGAGTTTGAATCAAATTCAAGAGGAAGTTTATGGAGCATATGCTCTGTGCTTCCTGGAAGGGCTCTGGTCAGTTGTGTTTTGGGTAATGCTGATTCAGAAGGTGGTGGGATTGGAAAAAGTGTTTCTGACAGTGAGAAGTAAAGGAAAAAGCATATGAGGAGGGAAGTCAGAACTTTGTCCTGACTTGAGGGAATACTCTTCTTACTTTAAAAGGTGGCCTGGGGGATGGTCCAGGTCATCCACCAGACTGTCCTGCGAAAGTATTTAGTTTAAAAACATCACTGAACTCGTGCACTGACTGGTCAACCAGTACTCTTGTTTTCCTTTACTTGACGGATGAAGAACTCCTTTCTTCTTCCTTGGAAATACAGGAAAAGGAAAGGAGAAGGGTAGGAAGGAAAAGAGGGAAAACTGCATGTTTTGGAAAAAGCTAGACCTTTAACCAATAATGTTCACAGACTTGTGGCATAGTAAGCATGGTTTGTATGCTGAAAAGTTTGATTTTCTGTGTCCTATAGTCGGAAATGCTTGCACTCCAGTGACCTCCAATAATAACTATTATGTGCTGGGGCAGATCTTTCTCCAGATACATCAGGGCTCCTGGGAATAAATTAATGGAAGACATCTATACCTGCCCAGCACTTGCGATGCTGAGCCGAAGCAGAGTACCTTTCAGTCATTGACACGGTTTTGCTTGTTGGCTTGTTGTTCTGATGAACTTTGGTAAACTCATGCCAAGAGAGCAAAAGGGAGGAGATTGTTTGCTTACCCATATGCTTGTGTACTTGGCGCTGGAGTGCTGATTTTCGTAAAGGTTTTCTTCATTCGCCTTGGGATCTTCACCCTCCTGCATCTTCCACAGTTTGGGAGTTTCTTTCGCCGTCTAGTACTGTATCCTTACTCAGCATGCCCTCCTGTGCTTCCTCCTCTGCTCCTGCGGGTGAACTGAACCACACAGCATGTGGGGCCGCTGAAAACCTCTTTCCCTCTCTTTCATGCCTGGAGCACAGAGCTGCTCTAATCAGCTAGTTCCCCTGCCCATTTCTGGTGCCACAGAGCAGAAGTTACAGGCTGCGGGAGTGGGAAGAGCTTGTTGATGCCTGGAGGCTGGAAATCCAAAGGCCCAGTGGGATGTCAAAGCCTTCAGGGCCTCCATAATCTCCAGAACCCCTCACTTTCCTTCTTCCATTAATCCACCTCTTTACACTTCCTGCCAAAGATCCTGTAGGGTAGAAGAAACAGGGAGGGGTACTCTGCCTCCTCCTGATCTTTTTGTGTCCTGGGAGGGTTTAATCCTTTCTCCACTTCTACATCTCATATTGTGTGTCCTTCCTTTGGGAGGCTAGGATGAGGGGTAGATGTGGGGGTAGGACACCACATGGACACCACCTTAAAATACGTATTTATTTTAAGGCACCTTAGGTGCAAAGTGAGGCATCAGACACTTTGGGGGATGTAGAGATGAAAGAGAACAGGTAGTGTATTGAGCTAAACCTTCACACGTGCCATACGTTCACCCCTCACATCACTCTTGTGAGGTAGGTGGTTTTATTGTCATTATTTCGATGAGGAAATTGGAAATCAGAGTCTTCCCCAACATCTAGAGGATAGTAAGTAGTAAAGCTGGGATTCAATCCCCAGGACCCTCCAGCTTCTAAGACCTAGGAGTTTAAAAAAATATTAAAAACAAGCAACTGTGTTAAAATATGTTAGATTACTCACCACTCTCACATGCATGGTTTCATTTTTGCCTTGTAAAAGCCTTAAGTAGGAAGGGCAAATGTGATTGTCCCCATTTATAAATGAGGAAATGGAAATGCCTGGAGATCAGCGTGGCTTGCTCAAGGTTATGGAGCCAGGGTAGATCCAGCTTTTCAGCCCACAGATCATTGTTCATATTAGGCTAAGGTCATTTAGTCCTTATGACTGAATGAAACGATCAACATGTGGCATTTAAAGAATTGGGCTCTCTCAGCATATTAGCATTTCTGTATTTTTTTTTTCTAGGGTGACTTAAACAAACTGAGTGACTTAAAACAACAGAAATTTATTTTCTCCCGGTTCTGGAGGCCAGAAGTCCAGAATCAAGGTGTTAGCAGGGCTGTGTTCCCTCTGAACGCTCTGGGAGAGAATCCTTACCTCTCCCAGCATCTGGGGGCTCCCGGCCATCCTTGGCTTTGCCTGGCTTATAGCTGTGTCATCTCATTTCTGCCTCCATCATTGTATGGCCTGTGTGTCTGGGTGATCTCTTCTGTTCTCATAAGGACATCAGTCATAGAATTTGGGGTCTACCCTAAACCAGTATGTCCTCACCTTAATTTAATTCCATTTGCAAAGACCCTATTTCCAAATAAGGCCCCCTTCTGACATTATTGAACTCACTGCATTTCTCAGAAGGGTTGAAAATTGAGCTGTGCAGGTAAAGCACAGCTCCCCGCCGCCCCTCACGCCCCATGTTGGATTACCCCTCGCAGCAGTCTAGCCAAGTCTGGGGAGAAGGAAGATGGGGCCTTGCAAGTTTCATTTCACGTTGCGAATGAGATCCACATGGATCTGCAGCCTCAGAGGACACGCTACAGGTGGATGGCAGAGGGCACACCTTTAATTAGGCCTCTGGGATATGGACAGACCAAAAGGATGACCTTGTTTTCAAGCTTGGAGCATAGTTTTTTGTTGAGTTTGTCCTTCACAGGCTGATTCAAAATCTTTGGCAGGGGTAATGGTTTTGGAAAGGCGCTGGGAGGCTGATCTGAAGCAGCCCTTGCTGCAGGGGCATGAGCAGTGACTACCAGCCCTTCTCTGGGTGGATGACAAGATTCTGATAGGCAGCACAATAGTCCAGCTTCTATGAAGCTTTTTCTGGCCACTGTGAACTTAAAATTTATGTCCCTATTTCTTTGCTGGGTTCCAAGGATTCATTTGGGTCATTTGAGGAGAATTTCTGCTGTTCCATGGTGATTATATCACTAAACACCCCAGCAATATTCAGCATTCCTAAGGAATTTCATCTCACAGTAGCAAAACTCAGAAAGTTAGAAAGGGTGTCAGGCAGATAGGTAGATAGGTGTAGTTAGCACTGAAGAGTCAGGCAATCCTTGGGCAAATTGCTTCATTTTAATGAGCTTTTGTTTACCTCATCTATAAAATGGAGAAAATAATGCCTACTTGATAAGATTGCTGGAGATTAGGGAAAATGCAGTAAAGAGTTTAGCTCATTGCTTGGCATTAAGTGGAGGCCCAAAGCAATGAGAACTGCTGTTCTCTCTCAACAGCCAGAAGGAAAAGACAGGGTGGGTTTGTGGCCCAGTCTGCAGAGGTGGTGGGCAGAGGTCACCCTTGTCTATGTAAACTGAGTTTGCAGGCAAGAAAGGGGGGGGGTCTCATCTTATTGAGGACCCAGCGTAATTAATCACAGTGGTCTTACTCCTTTGAAAGGACACCAGATGGAGTGGTCCTTGTCCCCCTGAGCTGTGAGCTCTTGAAGGGTCTAGATTCTTGGGTCTTTCTGACTCCCTAGGCTGCAGAAGAAGCAGAAGAGGGTGCTAGCTTTTCACATGCAACCTTCAGTTCCTTTCCCGGCAGAGCCGAGAGCCGAGTTCTCGTGAGTGAGAAGCTGGGTGATGCTGTGGACACCGCAGCAGCTGGGAGTCAGGGCTGGTCTCTGCTTACTTATTAGTCAGTCACTGCTTCGGCTAAATGACTTGAGTATTCTGGGCCTCTCTTTTTCTTACAAAATGAAAGGTTTCTTCAGAGTTTGCAGACTGTTATAAATGAGTGAAGTGGACAAGGTGGAAGAAAAACAACATAAATGAAGATAAATGCCACCTGCTGCGTGGCCTGGGTGTGGGGAGAATGGTAGGGATGGTGGCAAACTGAAGAATGTATTTCCCCTCTAAAGGGCGAGCTGTGGCTGGGCTGGGAACTTGGATTTTTATGTGAAATATCTTAAATTTTAAATGGAGACTGAAACACGTACTGCATAGGACAAACAAAACAGTTTGGGCAAAGTCTGCCTTCGGGCCAGTTTGCAACATTTGGCCTGTGGTCTCAAACGAACCATGAAGGTTCTGTGATTTTTGATCAGCCGTAGTGAGGAGCAAAGATGGCTCACTCTTCAGAAAGGGCTGTTTGTACATGGCAATGCCATCTGTGAAATGTTGATTTAAAAAATTTTTTTAAATACTTTTGCATTTTTATTTGTGTTTCTAAAGTTTTAAGATCTATATATACTATATTATTTGATAACCACAACTACTCTACGACATAAATGTTATTTCACTTTCCATTTTACACAGGAGACAGTGTAGGCCCAGAGAGATTCAAGGACTTGCCAAAAGTCACTCGGTTAGTTAGTGACAGATCAGGGGTTATACCCCAGTCCTTGGACTCCAAAGCTCATGCTCCCTAATTCTGTACCATATGCCACATGCATGTTACCTGTCCCCCTACTAACATGCTTTCCTCTGTCTTCACATTTCTGGTTCCTTTTCACCCTCCAGGTTACCATTTGCATGTCTCCTCCTCTGGAGACACCCCCCCCCCCCCCCCCC